TGCCCAGTGGCAGTGGGTGCTGCTCTAGCAGTGGGTGCGTGTTCATCCCTGGGCTTCCAGCCACCTCCCTCTGCCCTGCCCGCCTGCCCAACCCCCTGCTGGCTTCCCCTGATGGACATTCCCTCCCTCGTCACTCCTGTCCTAGCTTACTTATCACTGTTTCTTTCTAGCCAGCTCTCTCCCTTGTAATTGCCCTGACGGCTCCCATGGGCATGGGTCCTGTCCCCTTCACGCGAGAACCCCGAGGGCCTGTCTCTATCTACCTTGGTCTTCAGAGCATCTCCCACCAGCCCGCCCCCAGGCCCACCAGCACTTTGGACTCGGAATTGCTCCTAGTTGGACTGTGTTCCATCCCATAGCACACCCACGCCAAGGTGAGGTCACTGGTTGCCACATTTCAGCCACCAAGGCTGGAGATCTGGATACCCCGTGACTGACTCTTCTAACCATCTGTGGTGTCCAGCCATCGCTTGTACAATCAAACTCCCTCGCCAGATCTTTCTTTCCTGTTTCTGTGTCCCAAGTCTCATGATCTCTTTTGCTATCCCCTGCCTTAGCTTTGGTTTGGTCACTGCCCTTCTAGCCTCTCCCTAAATTCTACTCTTTAGTGTAAGTAGTCCTCTTGGGGTGGGGTATGGGTTACCCTAAGATTTTTTTCATCCTTCAGGAGATAAATTCAGATGCCCCCTCTTCCAGGATGCACTCCCAGATTGCCTAATCAAAACAACTGTTCTTCCTCTCAGCCTTGAATTGTACTTAAAACACAAGTGAGAGAATTGTAGTTTCCTCTTTAATCCCTTGTTTTCAAGTGGATAGGCTCAAATCTTAAAAACCCTCTCATCTCTTCTTTTTCTTCCTCATTCTTTCCTGCCCATCCAAACTCAAGACACATTTCTTCATTGGTTGGTCTTGTTCAGGAAGAGACAAGTTTAGGGGAGGGAAACATCAAGGGAGGTGAGTGATATGTGCTTTTCTACCCCTGAACCCCCATCGCCAGCCCCTGAGCAGCACGTGAGCATGGTGAGGTGGGAAGGAGGTGGGGAGTTCCCATGTGTGGTTGTGAAAAGTATATGCAATTGAATTAAAGCCAGTATTTCTTGAACATGAGAAAGTATATGGTAAGATATGGCCATATAAAGTCAGACAATGTGTCGGAAAGTCAAATATGTATCCAACTTATAAGCATTACAGACTTCTCATTCATTTCCTAAATTACTGAGAAGTGGAAGAGGCAGGTATCTCCAACAGTAAGATGTCCTGGGAAGTGGGCTCCATGCATGTGGCATGGCTATTTCATGGAGATGTTTAGAACAGTGGGCAGCCTGCCTCCTGGCTCCAACTGGAATGGTCGTGTTGTGTTACAAGGGAGGGATCACCTGCCATGGGTGGAATCAGAAGTGGGCATGCGTCCTTCCCTCCCTCCTCCTTCCAGCCAGGAGGACGCGTATGTTCATAAATCCATAGGCCGGGTTGGAGAGCAGGACGGTGACAGCCCAGTTATTGTCAGGACTGTCCTTGTACACGGAGGGGCAGTGGGTCACCAGGGATGTTAACTGGTTTCTCAAATTTGGGATCTATTGTCACCTTAAAAAAGCAAAAAAAAAATATTCTTTTGCTATTAGGAAAAATGGTAATTTAATAAATGCAAATCCATTTGAAAACAACACAGTAAAGATCAAAGTAAAGTTTCCTCAATTCCAAGTGCCTTTTAAAAAAACTTTATCAGTTTGGTTTTATTCCTTCTCTACGTTGTTACCAAGTCCAAGCTCATACTGCTTGCCATAGGACAGGCCATCAAATTGAGGAATGAATTGCTGTTATTTGCAAAGCGGGCAGACCAAGAAGGTGGCGGACTCCTGCCCCAAAGAACCATTTTGCCTGAGTTAGAGTTGAGGAGTCTTTTACACTAAATGAGGAAGTGAAGTCAAACATTTCCTGGTCCCAGTCAGCCTCTGGAGGGGAGGTGTTTGTCTCTTTCTCCCTGCAGTCATTCACAGGTGGGCCTAGTCAGGATGTTTCCTGTGAGCTAAACAAAGGTATTTTAGCTTAATGCTCACTATCTGGGAAGCAGGGTTTCCAGAGGTGGGCCATTATTTATCATTTAAGCTTACAGGCAACATCTGTTTAGTGGTTAACTTGAAGCAAAAGCAATAGAATACAAAAGATAAAGAAACAGATCCACTATGGAGTCAGATTTGTTTTGCACATTACAGTTGAAGAGATTTATAAATACGCTGTTGAAAAACCTCAGCTATTGCAGAGACAGGACCACAACTGGAGAGGGGCCATGAGTGAGGCTGAACTGGTGGGAGTTCTGATACATTTCAAAGCATAAATCATTAACAGAATGTTTCTGAGCAGGAGTCCTTGAATACCAAGAGCTACATGAAAGTAACAAAGCATCTTCAGGCAAAAACATGCTTTTCAACTGCTTAAAATAATTCCTGCAAATCCTGTTAACTCAGTTATCTCCTCTTATTGGAATTACTTTCTTAGTAACCTTAAAAACACAACTAGTACAAATAAATAGATTATCAGCCTAAACAACAGATCAAAAATGATGAAGTGAGTTTAGAAGTTTGTTTACTACTTATCTTTAAATAAAATTTGTCGCTAGTCACTTTAATATTTCCATATTTCTTCACCCCTGCTTTGTACTGTTTTGCACAAAAAAGGCTCAGATAAGAACTGCAAAGCTCAGCAGGACTAATAATAAACAGGGTTAACTGATTTTCCCAGAAGAGGAAAGCTAATCATAGAACAGATCTTGGAAATTATTTAACACTTTCACTTTACAGCTGAGCAAATAAGAGGCCAAGAGTTGAGGGCTTTGGTGCAGAAAAACCAGCGGCAGTGCGCCCCTGGAAGACTCAGGCCCCCTTTCAGCTCGGTCCCCTGCCCCAACTCCCTGCCCCATCTCAGAAGAATCACACTGTTTCCCACCAGTGGCCCTTGAACTCTTGAACCCTTGGGGGCAGACCCCTCAGGACACCTGAGCAAGGCACTCAGCAGATCGGAAGGGTGGTTGTCATTCCCGTGGAGGGTCCCACCCCGCGTTTGTAATGGGATGATGTGGACTACATGTTTTCAGGCTTCCCCACATTTTGATGTGTTATGCATACACTCTGTTGGGCTCCTTCCACTGTGGTTGGATTTTAAGCAGCCTTGCTCTGCATTCTTTTCCTGTGAGACAGTCTTTTTCTCAGCTGGGCTCCCCTGGCAGCTCTGTCTTTTTCTCAGATATGCGTATCCTGAAGCCGAGTGTGGTTTTCTGGTTGGCTGCACCCTGCGAGGACCGCGCCCCCGGGCAGGGAGCCGTCTCCAGCTCCTGCTTCTGTGCAGAAGAAGGGGATTGTCTGCATTAGCTTCCTCCCACTGTGTGACAAGTTACTATAAACCCAGCAACTGGAGACAACTCCGCTGTGTGCTGTTAGAGTTTCTGGGAGCAGGATGCAGGCGCGTGCTGGCCGGGTGCTCTGCCCTGGACCTCACCGGCTGTGGTCCGGGTGTTGGTCCACGTCTCGTCTGAGGCCTGGTCCTCCTCCAGGCTCACTAGATCCTTGGTGGAGTTTCGCTCAGGTGCTGGTCAGCCTGGGCCCTGCTCTTGCTGGCTGAACGCCAGCGCCCCCCTGGCTCTGGCCATGCGGCCCCTCCGCTGCTTGCTGCAGTTTCGTGTCTGACTCACCATCTCTGCTTGAGGTCCCGTGTACAGGGCTCCTGTGGTTCTTATAGGCCCACTTGACGGCCTCCCTGCTCACAAGCTTGTAGCCCACTGATGGGGCACCTTCACTGCACGTGCAGGAGTGACTCCTGCGGTGCCCCAGCTGACTCGGGAGGACCAGCAGGCACGTCCACCAGGGCTGGGGGTCGTCTCAGAATCCTGCCAGCAGACGAGGTAGCCCCTGTACTCAGAAGGAGTATCATCGGGCACACTGCACGGGGGCCACTTGTTAAAGGGTTCTCTTGCCTGGAAAATCCCATGGATGTAGAAGCCTGGTAGGCTACAGTCCATGTGGTCGCAAAGAGTCAGACACGACTGAGTGACTTGACTTTCACTTCACAAGCAGATACATAGTGTCTAAACCTTGTGTCTCGAGTGGATCCCCTGGCCCCTGGCAGAGTGCAGGTGCCTGCCTGGTGGAGGTTAGAATTCAGGAGTTCGCAGGGCGCCCATGGGTAGTGTACACTCGTGAGACTTTCCCTGTACAGAAGGGTGGTTGCGTGTCCTGTCCAGCCTAGACAGCATCCACTGTGACCTGAGGGAACAGAAGCCAGTCCTAAAGCATTTAGCTGCTGCTTCTGGCATCAGTGCTCTTAGGAGGCCGTATCACTGGGGCTCATTTCTGTCTTCCCTGTGGTGTTTCTTGTGTGCATAGAGGGTCTGTGGGGCGCGGGCCTGTGCAGGAGGCTCCTGGGGCGATGCTCGGAGTCCCCTGGCCCCTGCTGCCCCACTTCCTGCTCTCCCGGCTGGGGGCCCCCAGCGGGAGTCAGGGAATGGACGTTGTCAGGCGCGGGTCGGCTCGCACGGCTGTGACAGCGCACAGACGGGGTGGCTCACACACCAGAGGTTTATTCTTGTTCTGTCCGGAGCTGGATGTCCCAGATGAGGCGCTGACAGGACCGAGGCCTGTCTCCCGAGGCCTCTCCTTGGCTTGCCCATGGTGGTCTCTCCATGTGCTCATGTGGTCCCCCGCACACGCATCCCTAGTATCGCCCCCTTTAGGAGTGCTCGGTGTTGGACTGGGGCCCCACCCTGTGACCTCATTTAGACTCAGTCACTTCTTTTAACGACTGTATGTCCAAATAGAGATGCTGGGGCCACTTACACATAATATGTATGTTACATGTATTGTATCTGTTATGTATGTGTAGATGTACATGTGTAATATGTAACATGGTATATATGATATACAGTGTATATACCTATATGATGTACCCATAAGGAGAATGAGTAAGAGTGGCACAGGCAGGGATGTTAACCGCGCCAGCGTGGGGTGCAGGCTTGGTGCTGCAGCTCCCGCTGGAGCAGTCGGCGGAGCTGTGGGGCTTGCACGAGGAGTCTTGGTCTGCCGAGGAGAAGGGGCTCTGTGCCGTGTTCAGCCCTAGGTGCCTCCTGAGCCTGGGTTTCCCGAGTCCCTGTGAGCTGCAGGGCCTCTCTCCTTCAGGCCCAGAGTGGCCTGCTGCCGCTTGCCTGGCGTTCGTGCCTGGGGGTGTGGGGGCTGCTCCTGCCAGGACGGGCGGAGGTCTCACCATTGCTGTTTCCAGGGCAGGGGTGGCGAGGGCTCCTCCAGACTCAGAGCCTCCACAGTAACTTTGAGAAGTTGCTGTTTTAAAGACGTGCTCTGCTGGAGTGGGCAAGCTAATGTTCTAAGGTTTCAAGGCAGATGGACACTGACTTCAGTTCTGAAAATGGAGTGCGGTGAAGATAAACTGAGCCGAACGGGGTCCTGCCCCGCCTCCCCCCGCTGGTGGTCCCACCCCCGCCATCCCCAGGGCAGGGACCCGGTCTCCCGGCAGCTGCTGTCACCCTGGGCCGCCCAGCTCGCTGAGAGTGTCCTGTTGCCTCAGGGACAGCACAGGGACATAGCTTCTGGATACTTTCTCCAAGGAAGGGCACAGGCCCTTCAGCTGCCTCTGTGCCTTCTGTGGGTAGCCGACAAAGGGTCCTGAGGAGGAAGAAATACCAAAGAGCTAACGTTAGAATGTTTCTAATGGTAGAAAGCCAAAGTCTGACCTTCAGAAGAGAAAGCAGGAGCAGTTAGGTGATGTTTCATCTCTCAGTCCATTGGAAGGCGGTCAGACTGTTGACAGCAAGCGAGCGGTGCCCTCGGCGCGGGTCGGCGGACTGTCCAGCTGGGGGATGCTCATCTGAACAGCGTCCTGGCCTTGGAGGGACTGCAGGCCACAACCCCCAGGGGGTGCTGTCTAGTGCTTTGGTCTTGCATTTGGTTTTTACTTTTTTTAATTTCAACAAAGTCATGTTTCCAAAAGTAAAAACCATTAAGAACAAGTAATAAACATGTACAAAAAATAACAAGAAATGTTTCATAAATTGCAAAATAATATCTTACAATTTAGATAAGCTGGTCAAGTATTTGAATACACACCATGTTTGATAAAATTACATTACCTCTCTTCCTCTTTTAATATTTGCATGTATGCCTTCATTTAGTTTTGAGGACAAAGTTGTATCTAATTTGTCTTTGTTGGCTCTGTAGCAACCAGACAACCAAATGTGCTCATGAATTAGCGGAATGCAAGAAAACAGAAGCTTTACAACAGCTTCTTTAGTTTTCAGCACCTGGGTCAGCTGATGCTAGGAGCCCCTGGACATTTGCCATGGGTGCCCTCAGAATAAAATAGAAGTCTGACACTCAGGAATGGTCGCCAGAGCTCAGGAGTCGGGTGAGACCCAGACTCACTGCTGAATTGGTCTCTGGGAGCTCAGCTGAGGAAGGTCACATTATGAGATGGGGGCCAGTGAGAGAGTGAGGGTGCAAGTGGAATGTATTTTAGGGCTCTTTATTTTCCTGACAGTATAGCCCAGAGGGTTTTTTGATGCAGTTTCCTCATGTAGAATGACATCTTGAGATAGATTCTTGGTTCTCTGCTTATTTATAAATGTGGACAAGAGTGCCTCCAACAATCTCTTAAAATGTCCTTTGTAGGATTAATGAGCTTTATTTTCCAGAGTAAAAAATCTAAGCAGAAATACATAATGTTTTCATCCTGGTATCTGTTAACCAGTGGTAACTAACAGATGCTGAAAGCTGACTGTGGTGGCAGTGTTCTGAGTGATTATCCACTTCATCTTGAGTGACATGGGGAGGATCCATTTGTGGGGGCTCCATCCTGTAGATGGTGCAGAGATTCTACTATCTGTCTCTGTGACTTTGTCTTGTGTCGGGACCTCACAAAAGTGAGATTGTGTAATAGTTGTCCTTTCGTGACTGACTTATTTCACTTGGCATAATGACCTCCGAGTTCATCCATTTTGTAATGAGTCAGAATTTCCTTCCTTTTCATGGCTGAATAATATTCCACTATATTCCTTTGTGGCTCAGCTGGTAAATCTGCCTGCAATGTGGGAGACCTGGGTTCAATCCCTGGGTTTGGAAGATTCCCTGGAAAAGGAAGGGCTACTCACTCCAGTATTCTGGCCTGGAGAATTCCATGGGTTGTATAGTCTGTGGGGTCACAAAGAGTGGGACAGGACTGAGTGACTTTTACTTCACTTCACTTCATGTGGATTTTTGCTCATCTCTTCATCTATTGTTGGGCATTTGGGTTGTTTCTACCTTTATGCTACAGGGAGTAATGCGGCTATGAACATGGGTAGGCAAATATCTATACAAGTCCCTGATTTTAGTTCTTTAGAGGTACATACCTAGGAGTGGAAAATTTAGTCATTTTATTTTTTTAATTAAGTAACTAATTTTGACCAGGTAATGGCAGTGGGATTCCAGTTCCTTGACCATGGACTGAACATGCAGCCTCTGCAGGGGAAGTGCTGAGTCCTAACCACTGGACCACCAGGGAAGCCCCCAGTTTAATCATTTTAAAGTGAACAATTCAGTGGCATTTTGTGTGTTCAGAGTTGTGCAACCATGACCACTACCTAGTTCCAGAATGTTTTAATCACCCCAAATGGAAACCTGTACCCAGTAAATAACTTCTCATCTCCCTAACCCCTAGACGGTGGCAACCACAAATCCATATTCTATTGCCATAGATGCCTGTTCCAGATATTTCATGTAATCGGAGTTACGCTGGATGTGGCCTTCAGGAATCTTCTTTTTAAATGCTTCTCTTTTCAAAATAAATAATTTTTGGTCACCCTGGGTCTTTGTTGCTGTGTGCAGACTTTCTGTAGTTGCGTCTGCGGGAAGGAGACGTGTTCTTCATTGCGCTACATGGGCTTCTTGTAGAGCACAGAAAACTCGGTCACGGCGCACTGGCCTAGGTTGCTGCCTGGCATGTGGAATCTTCTTGGACCAGGGATTGAACCCGTGTTCCCTGCATTGGCGGGCGGATTCTTACCTGCTGTGCCAGCAGGGGGTCCTCAGCACTTTTTATTATGGAAATTTTCCACATGCCAGAGGGTGGCACAGAGTGTTCACCGAGCTGCGTGGGCCCGCCACCCAGACGAGGCCTCAGTTGAGCTCCGCCAGCCCGTTAACGGCCGTGTCTTTAACAGGGAGGAGAAGCAGTACGTGAACCGGTTCTGGAAAGAGATCCGCGTGGGAGACTTCGTGCGCCTCCGCTGCAATGAGACCATCCCCGCAGACATCCTGCTGCTGTCCTCCAGCGACCCCGATGGGCTGTGCCACATCGAGACGGCCAACCTGGACGGGGAGACCAACCTGAAGCGGCGCCAGGTGGTCCGAGGCTTCTCTGAGCTCGTAAGTGACCTGGCGCGTCCCGGGAACCTTGTGCCGCCGCCGTGTCTCCTGCACGGGCCTCCATGCCTCTGGGAACATTCGCTTCCTGTGAGAGCAGGTCCGCGTCTGGGGCGGGTCCGAGGGTCTGAGCCTTGGCTTCCTGTGAGAGCAGGTCTGTGCCTGGAGTGGGGCTGAGGGCCTGAGCGTTCACTTCCTGTGAGAGCAGGTCCGCGCCTGGGGTGGGGCCCAGGGTCTGAGCCTTCGCTTCCTGTGAGAGCAGGTCCACGCCTGGGGTGGGGCCGAGGGCCTGAGCCTTTACTTCCTGTGAGAACAGGTCCGCGCCTTGGCTTCCTGTGAGAGCAGATCCGCGCCTGGGGTGGGGCCGAGGGACTGAGCCTTCACTTCCTGTGAGAGCAGGTCCGCGCCTGGGGTGGGCCCAGGGTTGGCGGCCCACCGCCCGCAGGAGCTGTGACTACCCGGGGGCGGGGAGCAGGCTGGCTCTGTGACTCTGGGTTCACTGTCCACTTCTCAGACTTGGTGTGGCCTTAAGGTCACCGGGAACACTTGGGCCTGGCCTACTGCTGGCGCTCATCCTCCTGTTGCTCTTGTTCTGACGCAGCAGAAGTAGTGACCTGGCCGTAGCATGTAGCTTTAGGAATTCCTGTCCTCAGAGGTGTGTCTGGGTTCACCCGATTCCACCCGGGTCCATCTGCGTCGCCGTCTCTGACTGGATCCTGTCTGGGAGGAGCGTCAGTCCAGCTCAGAAATGCTAGGCCTGTGAGGACTGAGAGGTAGAACGGGGGGCCGGGCCCAGCCCCGGTACCCACCAGTAGCTGGTGGCTGAAAACTCAGCCTTCAGGAGGCTCCCTTCTCTGTCGGCCCCCAGCTCTATGCAGAGGAGACAGGGTGCCTACCCCAAGGGCCTGTAGGGAGCGTGATCAGGATCACCGCGGCCCTTGTTCTGACACCGCGCTGCCTGTTTGTGCATGTGGGCCTCGCCATCAAGGAAGGAAGGTTTAAGAAGCGCCTGAGATGATGCGCTCCTGCGTTTCAGGAAGGCCGCCACTGTGGGACGTGGGGGGGGCCCGTCTCTTTCTCTGTTGTTGCCCTGTCTTCGTGAGCTCCTACAGGGGAGCCAGGCCTTAGAGTCAGCACTAAGGGGTTCTGGAGCAGCTGGCTTCTTTTATAGCCTGGGGTGTCCCTGGGGCACTGTTGGTATCTGCGGTGCAGTGTTCATCGTGCAGGGTGGCTGGGGGGCATCCCTGGCTTCCGCTGTGAGTGTCCGGGCCATTTGCCCTTGGTAGCTGTGCCCACCTCGACACACTTGCAAAGGGCCAGACGGCCTCCCACACCCTGGGGCCCCCACTGGCCCTGGTGGCAGGACTTTCTGAGCCTGGCGCTCGCTCACCTCCTGTGGACCCTGACTTCCTCAGCATGTCCGGACCGTTGTGCCGTTGCTTCCATCCACCGCCCTGATTTCCTTGTTTCAGGCTCCTTTTGTGCCAAGAATGGTTTTGTGAGTTGCCTCAGATCTTTCTTACAATGAGGCAATGCATACATAAACATTAAAAATGGTATTTTTTAAAACGGGATTGTTTCCTCCAAGGTCAGAGGAGTTGATGGCCGGGCTCGCTGGGGACCCTTGGGGCCCAGCACTGGCCTGTCCAGTGCGCTTTAGCTTCCGCATTGATTGTGCATCAGGGTTTGGTAGTAAGTGTTCAGGCCGAGCTTCCCCTGCCCCGCATTCCCCCAGGCCCCGTGTTCCTCTGCTCTGAGGCCACCTGACTCCGGGCCTAACCCAGGTCCCCAAAGCCCGCAGTTCCCCAGCCCTCTCCAGGGTCCAGCCCAGCATAGGAACCACCCCTGAGGTCAGCAAGGATGGGCTTGGATTGGAAGGAGGCGGTGAACACACAGCCTCCAGCTCCATCCTGGCGGAGCAGCCAGTGTGTGCAGAAGGTGTGTGTAACATACACAGACGCACCTGAATATCTAATAGATGAAAGCTCAGACACTGGGATGATCTGGTAAAACTGCAGAACTAGAGAGCAGAATGGATCTGTTTGGATGGCGAGAGGGGCAGAGCCAGGTAGGTGCATCTCCTTGGTCAGCTCTCCTCAGTGACTTTCTTGTTTCTTATCATCTAGTTTGTTCATCTAGTTTGCTAAACCCGGTAATATCTAAAAGCCTCCTCAACCCACTTTTTTTCCAAACAAAAGCTGGAACACTTTACTGCTCGCTGGTGCTTTGCACAAATGTGTAATTTGTAAGATGGATTGGATGTTGAAATTCCAGGATGGCCACAGACAGATGCATCCTTGACCTACCTGCATAGGGCCTGTGTGTTCCTGAGGAGGCTAGTGGAGCTGAGCCGTAACCTGATCAAAATGGCCAAAATTAGGAACCTGAACCATTTTGATATATTAAAAAAAAAAAAAGTTTCTTTATTAGCACCCAGATTCTCAATATGCACACTCTAGTCCCTATTATTAGTGTATTTCTTCTCCTTTCTGTTTTTTTCTCCCCTTCTTTTCCTAATGTCCAAAGGCATTTTTCTGGTACCTGAATTTTTCTTTATACAATATTATTCTGAAATATATGAACTGCCCCATGGAAGCCTGACATTTGGAAAACCAAGGTTCAGCTGTAACACTACAATGCCAGGAACATTTCAGTCCTGTGTATTGAGATGAAGTTTTCATAGATGGAGTCAGTTGGCATCTCAGGCAGGTGAAAAGCGTATTCCTGTCCAATACACAGTAATACAGTTCCACATTGATGACAGCTCTGTTAGAAGTGGAGGCCCCTAGGAGAGTTTAAATTAGAGCTATTTGAAAAACTTAGGTGAAGAATAAGAGAGGGCCTTGACAATCATGCAGGGTCTGGGTACATCCACCAAGGTCTAGTGAGGAGGCAGAAACCACACCTGATTTAGGGCAAGTTTGATGTAAAGAAAGAATTCCCCATGGGAGTTGCATAGTAAGAAGTAAAGTGACTCCCCAGAATGCAGAAGGGCTGACAGAATAGCCAGTGGCTTGGGGCTGAGACAGCGTCCAGGGAAGAGGCCCTGAAGCTGAGCCTTGTTCTCCTGGCCAAGTTCATGGCTGTCTTTCGTGGGATGGTAGGAAAGCTACTGAGTGCTGTCCCAGGGGGTCAGCCCTCACGAGGGTAGGGAAGCCTTCCACTGAGAGGTGTTGGGCGTGGTAACTTTGGGATGCTGGGGCAGGTGCCATCTCTGAGAGGTGCTGGGCATGATGCCTTTGGGATGCTGGGGCAGGTGCCATCTCTGAGAGGTGCTGGGCATGATGCCTTTGGGATGCCGAGGCAGGTGCCATCTGCTGAGAGATGCTGGGCATGATGCCTTTGGGATGCTGGGGCAGATGCCATTGCTGAGAGGTGCTAGGCATGATGCCTTTGGGATGCCGAGGCAGGTGCCATCCACTGAGAGGTGCTGGGCATGATGAGTTTGAGATGCCAGAGCAGGTGCCATCCACTGAGAGGTGCTGGGCATTATGCCTTTGGGATGCTGGGGCAGGTGCCATCTGCTGAGAGATGCTGGACATGATGCCTTTGAGATGCCAGGGCAGGTGCCATCACTGAGCGGTGCTGGACATGATGCCTTTGGGATGCTGGGGCAGGTGCCATCACTGAGAGGTGCTGGGCATGATGACTTTACGATGCCAGGGCAAGTGCTGCTGGAGTTGGGTGCTGGGGATGCCCCCCTCTGTGTGTGACTCCTGCTGCTGCGGTGAACGACTGCCACAGGTGACTTTCTGGACAGCAGCCCTGGGGGTCCCAGGCCTGTGCATGAGAGGGGCTCAGGACGGGGTTCAGGGGGCAGCAGAACGGACTCGGGCCCTGGTCTCCTGAGCTGAGAGTCCTGGAGGACAAGTGCACTGAGCGGATGGCTGGCGCCTCCCCCATCCTCACTAATGATGAGAGAGTGGCTCCTCTTCCCACCCTTTCCAGTTTCTGAAGTCGTTTATGAAGAGCTTGTTTGCCAGGAAGGACGCTGAGAAAGAGGGAAGTGGTCCACACGCCAAAGGGTCTGGGCAATAAGGCGGTGAGCCTGGCCCCGAGAGGACCCAGGCCTGCCCGCCAGCAGATGCTCGACACTGAGCAGCGAGGAGACGCCCTTGAGGGGACTGGCTGGGAAAGGGCCTTCCAGAAGGCCGAGGAGGCCTCCAGAAAGAGGCCGTGAACCGCATTCTGAAGGCGAGGATGGGAGGGTCTGGGAGCCAGGGAGTGTTTTAGGCAGTGACACAGGTCAGATGATGTCTCAGAGGTGGACACGACATTGTATTTACTGAAGAGTGTTCACCAAATTGTACAGAATTCAGAGGCTGGAAGCCCAGAATGATGGCAGTGAGGCGGGGTGCATGTGTGGCCTGCCCAGATCCCCGGGTCAAAGGACAGAGTGCCCAGACACCTCCAGCCACCCAGGCGTCTCACTCTGGAGAACGAAGCGTAGGTACTGGCACTTCAAAATAAACATTTGGTTTAATGTTGGGGTCATGGAAGTTCCCTTGTGGTTAGGACTCCATGCTTTCACTGCAGAGAGCCTGGTGGTTCAGTCCCTGGTTGGGGAACTAAGATCCTGCAAACCAAAAATGAAACAAAAAGAAGTTTGGGTCAAACTGTCAAATTGGCATTATCCACGAAATAAAAGGGACTCCAAGGCTGACCATGAGCTGTCCCAGCAACTCACATGTTCCAGCTTTCTGGGAGTCAGCCTTTACCATGCCTCTCCCTTTCATGGTGGTGCAAACATTTCCAAATCATATTTTTAAATATAAATTGTCAGGTAATGATGATGTATGTTTTTATAGACAAGAAACAGAATGGGAAGTCAGGAGAGTCTACCAAGGCCCGCTCCTCCGCCGCTTGACTAGGGAGAGTCTGGCACCCCTGGGACTGGCCGCATGACTGCTCCAGCCCCATCTGTTCTGGGCATCTGTCCCTCCATCTCGCACATTCATCCAGGTCTTGGAGTCCTGCCCATGCAACTGCATCTATGATATTTG